AAATCTTAACAGGACATAAGCAAAAAGTAGTAGTAGAACATCAAGGAGTCAAGTACGTCCCCGATGAGGGAGGGCTCTCGTACTGTAGACATCCCACAGGGCAGTATTATAGGCCATTTGTTATTTGTTTTTTATGATAATGATCTTGCTATAAACATTATAAAAAATAGGAACAATATTCATCTAGTAAACTATGCTGATGGCACAAATATATTAATCTTGGGATCGTCTTTGAATAACCTTCTAGATATTGCCAATGATACTTTGGAGGAGGCTCGGATGTGGTTCAATATGAACAGACTTAAAGTAAATAAGGAGAAAACAAATTATATGATTTTCAAAACTAAAATGAACAGCAGTATCATACCAAGTAGTGTTCAGATACAAGAGGAGGGAATATTTTTAGTAGATAACACCAAATTTCTGGTTATATATGTAGACCAGATTTTAGACTTTGAAATGCAGGTTGGTAAATTATGTGCTAAGCTAACATTAGCTTGTTGCAATATTGTTGCAATAATGTTGCTCTATTTTGCAAACTTCTACTCACATATAGGTAATATTTGGGATAATTTTCAGGGGAGGAAGCACCAAAGCTGAACAAGTTTTTATTATTCAGAAAAAAATGATTAGGAGACTGCTTGGTTTGAAATTTAGAGTTTCCTGGAAAGGAAAATTTAAAGAATTTGGTGCAATGACTGTACGCGGAACATGAGTGCCTGGTATTTGTTTACAAAAATAGACATATATTTGAAGTAAACACCATAAAGCATAACTTTAATACACGAAGCCACAGTATCAACTACAATATGCCTGCGCGTAGACTTTCTATCATAGAAAGGTTTCCGAGATATGCATGTGTAAAATTTTATAATAAATTACCAGATGTGATTAAAATGGAAAACAATTTTAACAGCTTTAAGCAATAAGTAAACTACCTTATAATAGATCTTGAACCATATTCGGTCAATGAATATTTTAGTGAGATACATAAAGGTTGGAGGAAAAAAAACTTTTGTTTGGTTTTTTGTTGTTTTATTCAATACATGTGATTTAAATTTTTTTATTGTGTTTATGTGTAAGTATTTTAATTGTATATTTTTATTACTTTTGTATCTTTTTTATATATTTTTATTGTTCTATTTTTAATCTTATTTAGAGTTAGGTACTTTCATTGTAGGTATATTTTTATTACTTTTGTATTTCTTGTATTGACATTATTCTCTTTAATTGGAGTCATTTAAGTCGTGTATTTGTTTGTCAACCGATTCTTGTGAATAAAAATATTTCTATTCTATTCTATTCTAATGAATGAGAGGGCAAAGATACTCATTATTGCGGCTTATTATGCAAGACAAAATTCGAGAGCAAAGCGAAATGTGGGAATAACGAAGAATATCGTCGCTTAAGAACTTAAGGGTATGGTTTGAATGCAGTAGTGCAGAACTATTTAGAGCGGCAGTCAATATGGTCCGCATAGCCATGATGATTTCCAACCTTTGAGAGACGATGGAACTTAAAGAAAAAAAATGTAAAAAAAAGTCGTAAAGTAATAGTATATTACTTTATGAGGCGGAGAAGCATGACTTTTCTTAACGCGCCCGATATTATGTCAATAGTAGAGGGCATTTCAAGAAAATTCGCTTCTTTGCCTAATAAAGTATACTATTTTTTCTTCAAACGTAGCAATTTTCAAACATAAATAGTACAATTCTACGCTATTTTTACTCGAAATTAACTGTGATAACTATCAAAGTCGTCTAGATGTTAGAAATTAAAATAATTAAGTCGTCGGTGGGATTTGCGTCTCCCTGGTTACAGTTGTTTGACAGTTGTTTGCAATTATTAAAGACAGCTTATTGTTGTTCGCAAGCCGCCAACATCGGGAATGATTGCTGAAAGTTGTTCTCGACCATCAGTATCATCAACAATTACCAATGCATATCAAGAGTCGGGAACATTTTTGCACGGTTTCAATTTTGAAAATGCCTCATTAACTAATTGTACTTTTAATATTACTATAAATAAAAATGATGTTTAATTGTTGCTAATGACATTTGTATTGTTGCTTTGTGACATGTTTCATATTGTTGCCATGACAACATTTTTCCCTCCGCCGTAAAGAAAAGGGGAAAAAATGCTGCAGGCAGAGACATCAAACTTTGACAGGATCAAGTTAGATAAGTAATGTCATCATTATTTGACGTTTGAAGAAAAAATATAATAATAGATAAATAGTAAAATTATTTTATTCAGGTTTTAAAATATTATTTAAAATCACAGAAAGTATATTATGAAGCTTTGTGCTAGTCTACAGTAATGTCTATTATACAGCTCCAAAAATTCTCGTTACTTAAAATAGTCAAGTAGATCATTGACTGGTTTTTTAAGCCTCCTCCTAAGTTACTCTTTTTTCTTTTGATTGATTCCGTCCCATAATTTTCTTCGTGTTGATCCTCATTCCTCATTTTCGAATGAATTAGTTTATGACGTATAGACTTATTCAAAACTAGTTTTACCATATCTGAGTTACTGGGACGCTAATAACCCTTCTCATATTTGTCACACTATGTATACATCTCAAACTCGGTTTTATCAATTTCAAACTCATCGGCTTGGGCACTAATTCAGTTAGTTCAGCTATAATAGTTTCATTATCATCATATTTCATAATGCTTACATCTTCCTCTAGCGCCATTATTTTGTAAAAAGTTCATAACCAATTTTCTTCAGTAGAAGTGTTTCATTACCATTGAGCCATTTATGTAACATTGGCTGGAATTAAAAGAACAAAGAATTTTTTATCGTCAGGTCTCCCTCTTTATAATAAGCACCAGCATTATTCAGAATAAAAAGCGCCTTTTATGGAAGCAATCTGGGAAGATGTCACAAGTTATCCAGGCAGCTTGCTGGTTATAATAGTGAGCTGGGAGATCCTGCGGTTTCATAATTTTAAAAGCGCTAGAATTATTTGACTTTCCAATAATAGTCAGATTCAGTCTGTGAATGTCAGACGTATTTGGCCAACACAAGACTATTAGTTTTAAAACGGAAAAAGATATTTTACTACACCAAACTTTTTTAATTTTTAATGATATGTTACATTCTAACAATAACCAAAGTATATAGAATATATATATATATATATATATATATAATATATATATATATATATATATATATATATATTATATATATAAATATATATATATATATATATAAATATATATATATATATATATATATATATATATATATATATATATATATATTCTAACAATAACCAAATTACATTCATTCACTGATCAGCTCGGTGCACCTTAACTGGCTCCCAAACTCTATAAAACCACTTTAATCCTACACGAATTGGCTCCCAAACTCATACATGAATTGGCTCCCGCCCATTACGAAATGCCCAGAAATTGAATGTCCTTCTGAAACTTGGATTTTAAGGAAAAGAGGTATAATATACACCAGAAATTAGAAATGTAGTCGTAAACAATTTATTTATTAAAGAAACTGCAACTTACAGGCTATACAGGTTGATTGATGCCTTCTTGACAAATTTTTTAGAAACTCAAAAGCAGTTATACGTTTTTCCTGTAAAAGACGTATTTGATGTTCAACAAAATTTCTCTTTAAACGTATTGGTTTTCAATATACTCTTTTAGGGATACTACTAAAGTCCTTTTACCCATGATACTATGAATAACAAGATAGGATCTTCCCGTAGCACAAAATCGGTCGGGTTCGCGCATGCCGTCATTGGAGACTAGAATTTGAATTCTTGTTAAAGTTAAATGAGATTTGTATGGATTCTGTGATGAAATTACTAGACGAAAATAAGTTAAGAGGTTTAATAATTACAATAATCGTACACATAAGAATATCTCCAAACTATTTATTAAAGATTATTTATTGATATATACAAAAACTGACATTTCGAATGTGCAAGTCTCCAATGACGTCACAAAAACATGCGCAATATCTTATCTTATAGTCATAGTATCATGCTTTTACCCTATGACGGCCGATATGCAATTAAGATATGATCAGTGGGCCTCAAACAGTGGGGCGTTAATATTTTAATTCCGATCGCTTGAAAAGTAAAAATATTTATTTTCTGTATTTCAGTAATATTATTGTATTTTACTGTATCAAAGGCAAATAAAATGAATATAATATGTATATACAGGGCGTGTTAAAAGAAGTGGGACGGAATATTCGAAATTGTTTGTCGGTATCAAATGTTCATGTTCATGTTCATGAGTTGCGCTCCTGGGACGACTTTACGTATAAGATAGTTTATTCGATTACATGAAATCAACTTTAACTTGAGAATATCCGTCAGAAAAAAATCATAGCATGTAATTCGTCTTTAAAAAGACAAACACATGACATGATGACAGTAAAATTCTCCTGTTAGTGATTCCATATTAAATTATGAGGGAAAAATCAGGAAAAAAACCTCTTAATACTATCCCGACATTGTAAGTATTTGTTCGTGAATTTAGTTTACCTTCAACAAACATCTCAACAATATTGGCAATATCATTTTAAAGTCGTCTACTTTAAAATGCATAATGTATGTCTGAATTGTCAATATAAATGAGTCAGATAAAATTAAATTATTAGAAGAATTTTTCACTATGTAACAAAAAACAAAATTTGTTTAATTTACTGTTTGTATTTTGAGAACGATTTCCGAAGTGGAAATTGAAACGTCAAAAAACGTTTTTATCTTTAATTGTGGCTTATTCCCAGTTAAATAGTAATTAATTTAGAAGTAGGTTAGAAACCTATATCCAACGTATTCCATTATTCCTTAATTTTATTAAATTTCTAGTCTTGAAGTTGATTAAAATTTATTCTATCTATTCTTTAGGTAAAACAATGTAAGACCATATCGTAAATAGCAGCTTTGAGAGACTTCAAGATTCAGCATCAAAGTGAATTTCTTGGTAGTTTCGTGAACTAATAAATAATTTATTTAAACATTTAGAACAAACGATTTCTCTAATATGTTTTTCAATTAATTTTCATCAAAAATGTACAAATTAAATTTTTTTGAGTCGACACTCTATTCTATTGAATTGATTTGGCGTTCAGCTACAAACATTCTATTTGTCTTTTACGTACAAAATAAAGAAATTGGTAAATATGATGGATCTCCATTATCTAGTTACATTCCTTTCTTAGTTTTTCTTCTACGTTCCAAAATTCTTGTCTCTCTGTAAATTGCTGTTTGGTAATTTCAGAGAGTTCTTTGAGATACGGTAATTTTCCGTTTAGATCTTTGGGCAAACAATCTTGAGCTACATGTTCATAAAAGTCTTCTATAATTATATTGGAAGGATGTAAATGTATCTGAAAAAATAATATTTACTTTAATAATACAGAATCTACACAATGAATTTAGTTTTTCTGGTTCCAATGGGGTTACCATTTAGATTTTTAAAACCATTAGGATTTATTGTAACTTTTACTTTTTAAACTAAGACTTAAAGAAGTGCCAAAAGTAACTAAATACTGTGTATGATTTAAAAATCTAAATTCTAAAATTATTTAGAACTGTGCGCGATTTTTTTTTGGATGCCCTTTATTATAAATCGGTAGTACTGTAACCAGTTGACTTAGTGTACATCTTACCTCTCATGATACTTATTTCAGAATTCTGGTACCCTGTACCAGCTTATATGTTTTTAGAGTAACTTGCCATTCTCTGACAGTTTCTGACAGTTATGCAAAACTGTTTTAAGCTGCCTGCTGTAGAATGTAACTCTTTAGCTTAAGTACGGATTTCTGCTTATTTATCGCAGTACTTCAGATCTGTTAGAGCATGTTCATCCAATATACATTTTCGGTCGCGGACCGATAAATACTAAAAGCTACCCTTATGTGCTTCACGATTTTGATATGCACTCTAGTCATATAATTATCCTGTATTATCACACACAAATTTTGCAACAGAAGATCATTTTCCTTGTATGAAAGTATTCAATTCCCGTCCGGACTCTGTGATTTATATAGATTGAATGAATTTAGTCTTCCATCTCCCTGGCCCAACTGGAGTTCAGATCAACATTTTCACCAAACAACGACAGATATTACTTTTTACTTTAATACAAACTTTCAACGTGTTTACAATTAGGATGCGTCGTGGCTTGCGAACTCACATAACGAATGTCAGCAGAATATTCTGAATTAATCTTCGATTGAAAATAGAAAGCTTTTAAAGATATAATCTCTAAGGTCAGCTCACAACAACTATAACATGAAATAATAAGGGTTTGTTTCCTATATATTACACTTAAAAGCGGAAAAAATTAAAGAAGTGTGTGCGAACGTTTCCTTTTATTTCCCATCTGCTGATTTTTTAACTAAACATTACATTATTATTATTGACAAAAAAACGTTTGAAAGAAATAACAATAAATTATTTACAATAAATGTCAAATTCTTAATGCTAATTCTTAGTACTAACTAATAGTGTTGTTTTTTACTAATTTTATACACTTAACCACCTGTACATTTCCCACTACGTTTTATCCTTATATACCATTTTTCTTATGAATGTTTTATCCTCAATAACTTGGTATAGACCCGAAAATAAAGGGTTTTGTTTTGATGTCGACTTGTTTTTTAACTAACACCTTTTCTTCTGGTTTATATATTACTGGGCCTCTTTTGGCATCATATTTTTTTCTTCCTAACGTATTTTGATATTGTCAGCGTTTTTCTGACCTATTTTATGGCTACTTGTAGTCTGTATCTTAGCTCTAAAGCATAATCGTCAAAGTGATTTACTGGTTCTATATCGTTCTATACATTTGTTGGTAGTCTATAGGTTTTTCTGAATACAGATTCGATTGGTGTATAACCTGTTGTTGAATGTACCGAAATGTTGTATGCAAAGCAATAATATAGTACCCACATACTTCTTCTTTTCAGAAATTTTGACAGTTGAATCGTAATATATACATTTTAATGCTTATGAGTATTTTCTAAATTTCCAGTTGTCTTGTGGTGATCCGCTGTGGAGTTTATGATACTCTATTTTTAGCAATGCGCATGTTTCCATAAATATTCTTGCAATAAATTCTGTACATGGTCTGTTGTTATTTTTCTAGGTACCTACTTCGTGTCTTTTTGACTACAGGCTTACAGGCTTCTTTGTTTTGTGTTACGTATCCTTCTATGCATTTTTTAAATTCGCATCGTAATGTAATGCATTGTAATGCTTACCAGGTCTATAAACATCGTGTCAAAAGAATTGGAGATAACTTTATAAAGTATTGATATTTTTGCAGTTTCGTGTCCTCGAAATATCTTTTTCACGATTCTCTTTTTACTCTTCTCAGTCTATATTATATTTAGTCAGAGGTTTGCGATAATCGCTCCACTTGCCCGATCTTTTGGTAAAATTAAATTTTCATCTATCTTCTGTTCTTTCATTTGTAAGGTTGTTATTACACCACGGTAAATTCTTGTTGAAATTCCTCACGTACTCCGAACAATTGTCTTAAAACACCGACATGACAACCTCTTGAAAGTTCTCGGTAGCTATGTCTACGTCATGTGCATGCCTTATCGTCCCTTCACCATTGCCTAAATAACAATCTAGGTCTGCCTGTTAAGCTTTTCATTCTGTTTTACAAGGGTTACGATAAGTTGCTTTAATAAGCTCATTACCTGTTATTTTTAAGCATATGTGTCGATGGTCCGAACAAGACATTTGACATGTCAATTTTTAACAGTTCTAGTCACGTGAATCATAGTCACTGTTATATCAAATTATCTCCTTTCGTGATTTCCTACATTTAATATTTCTAAATCATATCATTAAATTCATCAATAAACCAGGAAGAAGAAGAAGAAGTTGTTTTGTCTCATCGACATTTACTGTCAACTGTTGCATGTTTTTCGATTATTGGTGAAAATAGAAAGATGCAAATAAAAAAAGTACCGTGTAAACGCGCCGTAACTGTTTTATGTCAGGATAGGTGGAAGCAATAAACAAAACAGCACTACCGTTTTTTAAATAAAGGAATACTTACCCTTTCGACTACTTCATTCTTGAGGAACGTTTTAACAAAGTTAAAGAATTGAGTTACTATAAAATTATTATTTAATACATGTATGGCCCTTAACCGCATAGGTAGTGCTTCCTGTATAAAACAAAAAAACTTCTTAATGAGATCATACTTCAATTTAGTTAAATGTCTAAGTCCTGCCTGAAAATACAATATTTGATTAATTTTTCTAAACTGTAAAAAAATATACAATAATATTATGGGGCTGGACACATATATTCTAGGGCTGAAATATTGAGAATCCTGGAGATTTATGAAAAATCTGTGAACAAATAAAAATGAATAAGTGGTGATAAACCCCATACCCACATCAAAATGAGAAGAACATTACAAAACACTATTTGAAGAAACAAGACCAAGATATAGTATTTTATCAGGAAACCTAATCCGGATTTTGGGAAAGCCGATTACAATAAATGAAGAAAAGGCTCTAAAAAACCAATAACCTTGTTAAAAAATGGTCGTACTCCTGGCCCTGAAGGAATACCTCTAGAACTCCTAAAAGATGTATCGACTAGATTAATAAAAATGATCACATTATTATACAGATACAGAAATGTGGAACCTGTACCACATACATAAAATATAGAATAGATGATATCGATATATACAAAAAAAAGTAAACAAGACCCTAATAATTACAGAGTAATAATCATAACCAACACAATAAGCCAACTATATGGAAGAGTTTTAAAGGATCTCATATGTGAAGAATATAATCCGTATGAATCTGAGTAGAAAAATAGGTTCAGAGCCAGTAGATCCCCAACAGACAATATTTTTAGCATAACTGTCTCTACCTCTAAAATTAAATTGTAAAACAAATATCGGAGGCTTCCTGGTAACTAGATACAAGGATGCTGTATATCTCCAGTATTATTCAATATATACATTGATGAAAAGCTGATACATTGGAAGCATAAATGTAGGAGAATTAAACTGCCGATAGGCGATACAATACTGTTACGTTTTTGATCAATTCAGAGATTAAGTAACGCAAACGTGGTTTAATAACCTTTATTTAACAACAACTCCAACAACTCACTAAATTACAAATATCACGAATACAGATTACAATAATAATTTTCGCTTACAATTCACACTGATATTGCTTACAAAACAGTTCAATAACAAGACGCTTTGTAACCTTACTTTATCTTACTGAAACATACTCGCATCGATAGAAACGGTGCGAAGTATATTTTCGGTGATAAAAAGATAATGCTCTATATTGCACAGGGCCGCAATTAGTGGTATTTATCGTCCCCTTCTTTCAAGCTGTTCGCTTCCGGACTGCACCTAAATAGACCAGGTCGGTGGATTTTGTCCTTCATAGGAATACAGCCTCTTCAGGTAGACGACTTTCGGCTTACTCCAAGGCGTCAGTTACAACCTATACACAAGGTCGTTTATCTTCTTGGACTGGAGCATTTTGGAAATTAGATCTTTTCTTCTCGTTGAGTAGAGCTAGGCTGTATCATCTTCCTTGAAGCTAACGGTAGTGGATTTCTGATCGAACCTAACTTTCATCCGGTCACTGGTGGATTTCAGCTTGTTTTTGGCGAAATTGTGGATCTTAATCAGTCTATAATTTAGGCCGCATACTTGGAGAGGGTATCTTGGTATATCTCTCCATCTGATATATTGCCATGTAGGAGGCACCAATCTTACTTACTGTTGGTAACCAGACTAGGCATCCACATAATAAAAATGGGCAATTAACCAGAGCAACATATAGATTCTTCGAAAATGCAAAGCAAACAGTCGAATACGTTGTCTGCAAGTGCAGGGCAATTGTTCGCCAACGCAATAAGTACTTGGAACAGGTATTTTTAGAACCTGGCCAGATAAGAAATATCTCTCCTATGTATATAATAGACTTTCTTAAAATCTTAGATCTGTTTGATTGATTATAGATGTAGGGTATACACAAAAGATGTTACAGGTCACAATGTGGAAAAGGTAATAATTAATCAACCGATTTCTTTGAATTCTACAATCCATGTTCGGTAGTTGAACTATTAAGTTAAATATGAATAAAACAGTGAATAAATCAAATGTTTTTTTATTAAGGTTTCAAAGTTGTTATGTTTAAATTAGAACAAACCAGATTCTTGAAACCATAGAGAACAATAAGAACATGAAAGTACTGAAAACATGTAAATCCATTGGCAGCAATAAAATCATAAAGATAAAAGACGACCGTGGAACATTGTGTTTGCATAAGGAAGAGATCGTTAGAGAAATCCGAAAATTTTATGAGAAGCTATATACTTCTACTATTCCGAACCCTGGTATACCAACAAAATATATCTCAAATGTGGGCTCAGAGGATCGCCCTGAAATAATAACATCAGAAATTAGAGCCGCCCTAAAACAAATGAAAATGAGAAAACACCAGGAGAAGATAAAATTACTTCGGAGATGCTAAAAATGGGAGGCACTGCATTAGAAGAGGCACTGCGAGCATTACTGAATAAATGCCTATTGGAAGGACAAATACCAAAGACATGGAAAAATTCGGAAGTCATTCTTCTCCATAAAAAAGGGGACGCCGCATATATAGAAAAATACCGACCAATAAGCTTATTGTCACACGTATACTAACTACTAACCCGAATAATAACAAATAGATTGACAGCTAAACTAGATGCATACCAACCAGTGGAGCAAGTAAGCTTTCGTAAGGGTTTTAGCACTATCGATCACTTGCAACAATCCGGACAGTTATTGAAAAAACAATAGAGTACAACATACCACTACATCTGGCATTTGATGATTTTCACAAAGCGTTCGACAGTATCGAGAAACGGGCTTTCTTAACAGCATTGGATGACGCCAGAGTAGATTCAAGATATGCTGCTCTCCTTAAGAATATATACGATGATGCTGCTTTTCACGTAAAAATAGATAATGATCTGGAAACTATGAAAATAGACCTTGGCAAAGGTGTGAGACAGGGCGACACCATCTCACCCAAATTATTTACTTTGGCATTAGAAAATGTTTTCAAAAAACTAAATTGGGTCGAAAAGGGATTAAAAGTAGATGGAGTATATCTTAACCATTTGCGTTTCGCAGACGACATAGTACTAATAAGCACAGATATCCATAAAATGAAATCAATGCTACAAGATTTAAATCACAATCGAATCAAATAGGATTAAAAATTATATATTATATATATATATATATATATATATTATATATATATATATATATCTATATATCTATATATATATATATATATATATATATATATATATCTATATCTATATATATATATATATATAATATATTATATATATATATATATATATCTATATATATATAATATATATATATATATATATATATATATATTAGGACATGCAATTAAAAACGAAAAGGAAAACCAAACCCTAGAAATTAAAAGGACACAATTGTCATGGGCTACTTTTGGTAAGTTGAGCTTCATTTTAAAAGACAAAAAATCCCAATTCACTTAAAACGGGAAACCTATGACACTTGTATACTACCAGTTGCAACTTATGGGTTGGAAACTATGGCAGTAACAAGAAAAATGGCAGAACAATTAAGAGTAACTCAACGGGCCATGGAGAGGGCCATGTTAAATATAAGCCTCAGAGACAAAATTCCTAACACCGAAATACGTCGAAGAACTAAAGTAACCGACATCATGGGAAAAATAGCGAAAAATAACAGCTGTAGCTGGAAAACAGTGGATGAGAATTGCAAAAGATAGGGAAGCGTGGAAGCAATTGGAGGAGGCCTATGTCCAACAATGAATAAATGAAGGCTGAAGAAGAAGAAAAAGATGTTTACCACCAGGAATTGACTGGATTTAAGTCACCTTGCATGTGATTAGCAAAAATACTCTCATTTTGACCTTAAATGACCATAGCAAGATGAAATTTGCTTATTTTTTCGAGTAAGGAAATTATATTTCTAGTAGTTTTCATAAATTGAATTCACTTATTTGTAAAAGGTTTATAGCTTCTTTTAGAGCTAGCATTTTTAAGACCTTTGACACGACAATACGAGACATTTTGGTGGATTTGAATTAAGTTATTCTTTTCGAAGCAGTAGATTTGATTATTTTGAAGTATTTACTTTTATGTATGGTATTAAATATTGTTAATGGATTGGAATTTAAAAGAAAGATTAGGCTTGTCTGTAAAACTTTGGTTCCTATGGAGAATATTTGTTATTATTAGAAATAATGCAGGTCCTAATCGGCATAGAGGCTAATACGAATATAAGAATAAGAGTGACTACGTAGAGTATTTTAATAATGTATCCAAGATTATATAAATCTTACCAATTTAAGGTCCGTTATCACAATAAATCCGTCAGGTGGATTATTATTTAAGGTAATATCAACTACCATAAGCGCTGATCTTAACACTGTTGTAGTATTAAATTTTTTGAAGTCCGAACTTTCCAACCGAAAATAATGAATAGCATAATTTTCTTTGGTTCGTGTTGGTAACGTCGATATACTCCTGAAAATAAAATGAAAGTTATAGGCTAAGCCCCAAAACCTACAAAATTTTTGAAATTGGATGGATTCCAATGAAAATTGTTGCATTTGATTGCAGTCCTAGGAGAAGAAGCCAAGACCAATCCTAGAAAGCAGGTGCCTCGCATACCATTGACGACATGATGTTAGCGTTAAGCGAATACAAAACCCTTAAGTAAGAACACGAGGCCCGTCCTGGACACCAGGGGGTCGGAGACCGTCACCGTCATAATATTCGTGATTAGCGACCCCAAAAAGCGCAACTAACGAAGATGCACTGATTTTGTATCAAATTTTTCTAAAATTAAATGAGAAGAAGCCTGTCATCGGCACCAGGTGCTTCAAAGACCATCGTCAACATAACATTAGTATTCTGCGATCCCAAAAATACCCGAATAATGAGTTTGCACTGCTTTTGAATTGAATTTCCACAAAACTACAAGATACTTAGCCCTTCCTGACCACCAGGTGCATTAGAGACCATCAGCATTATGTTATTTGTAATCAGCAACCCCAAAAACTCCAGAGTATCAAATATGGATTGTTTTTGTATCGAATTTCCACAAAACCTCAGGAGACCAGATTAGATGCACCAGGTACCTAGAAGGTCATCGCCGTCATGATATTCGTGTGCAGAGCCCCAAAAACCCAAATAGTAACTCATTTCCTTCAATTATTTCCGAATTACAAATTTTTCATTTTTCATGACGTCGAAGTGCACTTTGGAAAATACATTTTCCTTCGTCAATAATGTAGTTTTCATTTCCAATTCATTATTTTTATTTACAAAATTTTCTGACACTCTTGCAAATCGAATGCAACAGTTTTTATTGAAAATCATCACTTTTGTGAGAAATAATTCTGCTGTGTAATGTTCGAGAAGTTTCTCCTATATAAACTTTATCACATTCTGAGCAAGGTATTTGATACACTACTTTAGAACTTTCATTAGTTGTTAAAGGATCTGTAGTTTTAGTGTATAAATGTGCTATGGTTTTAACATTTCTGGTGGCAATTTTTATGTTCTCTAATCCTTTAAATAATTTGAGAAGTATTAGTGTTAAGAATGGAATATAAGGTAAAGCTCCAAAAGTTTGTGGTGTTGTTGGTATTAAGATGTTAACTGTCAGGTTATTGTTTATTTCTTGGTTTGTCATTTTTACTGTGATTTGTTTTTTATGGTTGGTATTTCTGATCAATGCAATGGAGGTAGGAGAGTTTGTAGTACTAAAAATTAATTTATTGAGTAAGCCTACGGGATAAGAGTTTTCCATTAGTATGTTTTTTAGTCCCTTAAACTTTGTTCTGTATATAGTAAGAAAGACTAGTAAGTAAGACAATTAACAATTTTAACTAGTTATTTTTATATTTCTTTGTTTGTTAACAGATGTCTTGAAAAAGAATTAAATTAAATTCGAAAGCTTGACAGTAAGTCAAAGAGTTTTCTTTGTCTTGTGGACCAAATCGACTGATCACCACTTGATATATATATATATATATATATATATATATATATATCCAAAAAGGAGTACGACCGTCTATCCAATATAAATAAGGATCACTCAGATGAGTGGTGGGTTCAATTATCGGTCAACTAGGTGGAGAAATAAAAGACAAAGTTGATACTACTTCATCTATTTTGAAGACGTTTCGCTATCGAATTCTGATAGCATCATCAGTTCATCTAAAAATTTTTACATTATGAGTACCACACATTCATGAAGAAGATGTTAAATAGTTACCTTAAAAAAGATATGTAGTTGTCAATGGTATTAAAAAGGTAGTACAAAAACTCAAATAAATGGACATCATATGGTGATATTGTATAAACAATTAAATAACTAACAACATTTAGAGACTTAGTAAAAATTAGCAAAGCAACAGAACACGTGGTCTAATAAGCATATAATATTTAATATAATATTAGCTAGTAAAAAAGAACTAAGAAAATCATTGATTCACTTCCAACTATGCAAAAAATTTTATTTTAACTTCATCTTAACTTTTGGTAGCATTATTTAAGTTAACTACATACTTGGTCGTTTTTTCATATATTGATTAATTTGACCCTCTGGTTTTTTACTTTAATATAAATAAATACAATTCAACCTTTGAATACTTTATAAATTAAAGTTCCAAGCGTGGGACCTTGGACTTTTTGGAAATTAGGTGCTTATCGTCATTCACCTGTAGATGTATATCCAACTACACTGTTGACGTTTATCACTCTTTTAAATATGGAGTTGAATGAATTGTGCCTACTTGTTTGTTCTAGACTAGTTGATGTAGGGGATTAGCGTTATCGCTAATTTCTTTCATTGTTTGGTCTCTTACGGGAGGGTTATCATTCAAACTCATGTTAACTTTTTCAAATTTACCGCCCGTAAATTAGTGGGTTGGTACTATTAACCTTGCTGTTCTGTCGAATAATTTTCGACCTCAAGGCAGGCTGTCTGTTTCATGTCATTGACTCGGTACCTTTTAATTAACGCCATTTCAACTGCAACAGGTGCCAAGTAAACAGTGGTAACTTCTCTTTATATCTTTTTTATACATATTTTTTATATCTTAATGTAGTTAACTTAAATAATGCTACCAAAAGTTAAGATGAAGTTAAAATAAAATTTTTTGCATAGTTGGAAGTGAATCAATGATTTTCTTAGTTCTTTTTCACGAGTTAATATTATATTAAATATTATATGCTTATTAGACCACGTGTTCTGTTTCTTTGCTAATTTTTACTAAGTCTCTAAATGTTGTTAGTTATTTAATTGTTTATACAATATCACCATATGATGTCCATTTATTTGAGTTTTTGTACTACCTTTTTAATACCATTGACAACTACATATCTTTTTTAAGGTAACTATTTAACATCTTCTTCATGAATGTGTGGTACTCATAATGTAAAAATTTTTAGATGAACTGATGATGCTATCAGAATTCGATAGCGAAACGTCTTCAAAATAGATGAAGTAGTATCAACTTTGTCTTTTATTTCTCCACCTAGTTGACCGATAATTTAACCCACCACTCATCTGAGTGATCCTTATTATATATATATATATATATATATATATATATATATATATATATTATATATAAACGCCTAAAAAACTAATAAAAAGCTACTTACCAAATATCGAATAATTCTTTAATTTCATGGTTTATACCATTATAATTATCAAAAAGTAGGGGCTCGTCCTTTTTCAATCTATAATGTGCAGTAATAGTTCTTGTTGTAAAATCGACATCATTCTCACAGGCCAAAAGAAACTCCACAATCAGTTCGTCTGGTAACTCTTTAGGAACATAACATTCTTTGCAGGATTTTAGCGACGATTTTACCGCTTCTACATTTGTTCTTGATGTTCTTCCTACCGAAATAACCTCTTCTGCTGTGAAATTGTATGGTAAGATCATGACTGAATGTATTCTGTAACATTTGGTGTAATAATTGCTTTAGTTTTACGTATCATTCAAGATTATTATTTTTTCAATTGTGAAATATATAAATTGGTTTATGTTTTATAATTGAAGGTTAAGAGTTATCGAGAAATTACTTATGTTTTTAACAACAGAGACGCCTTACCGAATTAGTTATCTATATATAACGAAAATTGTTTGTATATATTTTGTCTTTGTCATGTCACTTTGATGACAATTAGCAGATAAAAAGGTAAACAAATAATTTTTTTACTTGCATTTACATTAATGATTTAGACAGCGCAGATTGCTAAACCGAATAATAAATGAGGAAAGCAGATGAAGAAAGAACTACGAACAAGCAATGATTCAACACTTTAACCAATAATTAATATAGTTTACAAAATAGATGACAGACTGCCTAATTGAAATCGGTAACAAAGGAAGTTTTCTCAAGAACAAAAGATATAGCTTATATACTCAAAATAATAACATAGGATGTCAATAGATCCAGAAAAAAGTATGTGTTCTTGATTTAAAAAAGGCTATTTATTTCTTAAATCCATTACAAAAGCATCAACTATGCAATATAGCAAGAGACTAAATACTTTAAGCGATCCATCATTCAATCGCCTCAAATCAGACTTGAAATTGGACGAGGAAGAATGAGAAAAAAGCATAAATAATTACAAATAAACTGGAATAGGTTGGACCTAATCGCCAACAGAGAACGAACTAGTATAGATAGAAATAATCTTAAAGAATAGATGTATTAATATCAATGAAGATAATCAAATAAATACAACAAAAAAGCTTCAGGTTTCCACCTCGTAACTGAAGAAATTTTAAACAACTTTCAATTAAAGCCATTAAAAAATTAACAAACGTAATTAATGTAACTTGTCTGTCACATTAAAACTACTTGAAAAACTAATCCTTAACAGATTAAAACTTTTTCCGTAGAGGTGAAATCTTTAAAAGACACCCTAATCCCTCAAACAAGGTTTCAAAAGACATGAGGCGACCGACATCCCATTGTGATAACAGAGGAACTGAGAACACCAGAGACCTACTCACTGAAACACGCCATTTGTCTCCCGGTTATATTCGGAAACGTTCTATAAAGACTTACCGTGAGACATAACAGGTGTGCCTATCATACGTTCTGAAGCTATTTTCTTGTGGCATTTTAGTAATCACTATTGAAATGGTAATAAGCCACAATTAAAGGTTACAGTAAATTTATTGACGTTTCAATTTCCACTTCGGAATTCGTTCTCTTTAAATGGGAATAAGCCACAACTAAAGGTTAAAATAAGTTTATTGACGCTTTAATTTCCATTTCCGATATCCGAAATGGGATTTGAAACGTCAATAAACTTACTTTAAACTTTAATTGTGGTTTATTCCCGTTTCAATAGTAATTACTTTAAAATTCCACAAGAAAATAGCTTTAGAACAATATTAAGAAACCGTTATGGACTCAGCGATATTCAAAATGCCTATTATACAGTTTCATCGATGATCTAATTGAAAATCTCTTACTAATATAGGATTTCTTCCTGATATTTAACACTAATAATGTTTTTAATTTTGGTTTAGATGTGTATTTTTATTGCTACATGCATCGTTTAGGAAGGAGTCTAGGTCTATAGTATTACCTGCTCGCATGCTTCAGATCTCTCGCAAATACAAACCGTATCTTTTACTGTATTTTGATATGACATCAAAATCCTCACCTTTGATTAGCAGGTAGGTCTTATATGCTGTGGTGCTTTCGCATGCCAATTTTAGATTTATTACAACCACAGCTATATCTTTTGTGTCATCCACTAACCTCAGCTATCTTCACATTTCACTTACTAACAACCAGTAGTTCTGCCTCTATCTCATTGTCTTTGATCAAAGTCATGTTGTGTGTTTTCACTTTGGTTTTCGCTATAAACATATGATTATAGATTAGGTTTACAGAGAATCACTCTTATATGCTTTGGAAATATTTGCATCTATATTTGATATTGACAGAGAGGTAGTAATAAATCATTGTTAAGTAGACATTCCTTAGACATACACACAACATAATTTACACAAGTTAGATTCATTCTTGTTAAACTTCTTCTTCTCTTAATTTAAACTTAACTCAAGCTTCTTACTATTTTATTTTTTGCAACTCTCCGATTTCATTATTCCTTTTGAAATGACATCTATTCATTTATTTTCTAGTTAAACGTGTGATTTATCTATAAACGTATTTAAAGCACTTCAACGGTAAAATATTGTAAAATAGACCGATTACATGGTCGAAGTATGTTTAGAGAAGACTGCAGTTGGTAAATCGTATACGGGTGTATATGTGAAGGAAAGGGTGAAATCGTAAAGAAAACAAAACCATTCCTTAGAAGACTTACAAAACATATTAACGAAAGATAATAAAAAACCTATCATAAGAAGGAAACTTTATTCTTTATATTTTAATAATGATATTCTGACTTCAAATAAAATTTTGAGTTTAGTGAAAAAAGATATTCGTGAAATATTCTACGAGAATTAAATTTAGCTGGGAAAACATAATTAAAATTATCAATTAATAAGAAGAGATGAACTTATAGGTATGTTAAAAACGAAATTATTTACGAAAAATAAGAGGTTATACAATTTTGTTGAAATGTGGTTAAATGAAGATTATTTAATTGAAATCATGTGGCGGAATAAATATTTAAAGTTTGTCGCCAAATGATTTTAAATGGGCTATCCACGGAAATAAAAAGTCATTTACGTTTTTTAAAAGCGTAAATGACAGGACTAATTACAACCCATATCAGTAGTGAAATGGCTTATTTAAAGATGGTTTATAACATTTCAGTCAGTTCACGCCGGTAATTGCCACAAAGATATGAATACTGATGTTTGTAAGAAATATTTTGAGCAAATTATAAAGCTAATTCCAACAGATTATGTAATTGTTTTGGATAATCTTCCGTAACATCAAAGAAGATCTAAAAAATTGCTTAGAACATTTAATACTGGTTGAAGACAATATGAAGCTATTGGTAATAAGGAATAAATACAAACATCGGCATCGGAAAATGCACTCTAATTACTCACTTTAAATATATCTAAATTAGAGATGTTTAAAAAATTTTGAATATGCACTTAAAGAAATCCCTGTTCCTCTATCCTTTATCCGTCGTAAGGATGTGGTGACGTTATGATAGTTGACGAATAGGGTATAGGGTTGTGTTATAGAGGTAGTACTTTTTATTGGAACGATCACATCGAGCGTCATAGATGGGAGATGGTTCTTGATAATTGGTCCTTATAAGACACCTAACTCTCACTTATGGCTCCATGTGCGACACTCTGGGAAACTGCATTGGTCTGCAGGCTAAACTAAGTGAGGTTAAAAACGAAATTATTTACGAAAAATAAGAGGTTATACAATTTTGTTGAAATGTGGTTAAATGAAGATTATTTAATTGAAATCATGTGGCGGAATAAATATTTAAAGTTTGTCGCCAAATGATTTTAAATGGGCTATCCACGGAAATACAAAAGTCATTTACGTTTTTTAAAAGCGTAAATGACAGGACTAATTACAACCCATATCAGTAGTGAAATGGCTTATTTAAAGATGGTTTATAACATTTCAGTCAGTTCACGCCGGTAATTGCCACAAAGATATGAATACTGATGTTTGTAAGAAATATTTTGAGCAAATTATAAAGCTAATTCCAACAGATTATGTAATTGTTTTGGATAATCTTCCGTAACATCAAAGAAGATCTAAAAAATTGCTTAGAACATTTAATACTGGTTGAAGACAATATGAAGCTATTGGTAATAAGGAATAAATACAAACATCGGCATCGGAAAATGCACTCTAATTATCTCACTTTAAATATATCTAAATTAGAGATGTTTAAAAAATTTTGAATATGCACTTAAAGAAATCCCTGTTCCTCTATCCTTTATCCGTCGTAAGGATGTGGTGACGTTATGATAGTTGGACGAATAGGGTATAGGGTTGTGTTATAGAGGTAGTACTTTTTATTGGAACGATCACATCGAGCGTCATAGATGGGAGATGGTTCTTGATAATTGGTCCTTATAAGACACCTAACTCTCACTTATGGCTCCATGTGCGACACTCTGGGAAACTGCATTGGTCTGCAGGCTAAACTAAGTGAGGTTAGCCAGATATTGTGAAAATTTCACCGAGTGATTGCCGGTATAAGCAATCCTCCACTTACTGACCAACGGCTTCGGGCGGATGAGTTAGTAAGTGTTTAGGGCACTTTTTGCCCTGGAGTTGAGAAATCGGCTCCAAAGACAGATGAACCAACAATGTGTCAACGGCATAAAGATCAAGCAGGCAAACGGAGAACCACTTGCACGTCATGAAATGACAAACGAAAGTAACAGACTGCTATGCGATCCGGCAAGCAACCGGCCCCACATCGAGTCCGGGTCGATGGGTGTTAAATGGACCACCGGCAGATGGATGTGGGCAACCAGGCTACATCTGCTTAATTGGTGACTGGAAGCCCAAAAATAAAACTACGTACAAAACACCGTATAGCCCCATGGAACGTTAGAGGTTTATTAGAACTAGGAAAAACTACATATCTTAGAACGAGAGCTTATGAGAGAAAAAGTAGACATATGTGGAGTTTCAGAAACCCACTGGAAGGTCAGGGTCACTGAGAATCCAACTACTATAAAATATTCATGTCGGGAGCCAATAAAACTGGTCAAAAAGGCGTAGCAATACTGGTACAGAAGAACTTGGCAAAATGTGTATATGAATACCTCACAATAAATGACCGCCTAATTAAAATTACTCTCGATGGACAGCCAACAAAGATCCATGTACTAGGTGCATATGCCAACATTCAATGGAACAGATGAAGAAGTGAAAGAGATGTGCCAGTTATTAAACAATAATATCTCTAATATACCCAAAAAAGAACCAGTCTGACAGTAATA